TTTTATGATTTGAATGTTTCCGACTTTATGTCATTTGTTAATCATAGTCGTACCCGTAATTGTAATAATCCTTCTCTAGTGCTTAAAGTTCCGTCATGTAAAAGTAGCACTTTTCAGTCATCGTTCTTTAACCGTATTGTTCCACTCTGGAATCATACTTGCAAAATTGCTTCTCCTGGAGATCTTCGCAGTTTGGCAACGTTTAAATCCTTCTTATCTAGAACATACTTCAATTTATTAAGTGGTAGTTTTGATGTTGACATGTGCTGTACGTGGTCTTTGTATCGTAGCTGTTCATGCCATAGAAATAGTTAATTCTGATGTAAACATATACCACCTCCTCGTGCCAGGTTTTGTTTTATCCCGATTCAGCTTTCAAATTTTTAACATGATTATACAAATCTGTATTATATGCATGATAACTTGAATGTGGTGCAATAGCCGTCCTAATTTGATTTAATCAGCTGGTATATGTTTACCAATTTATTATATTGTCGTAAATAATGATATTAGATATAAACTAAATTCAAGAGGGAGAGTGCCTCGCATGGGTCTCGAGTCCCGTTCGCACTCTTGCCGTTTGAACATCGTTCAATAAAGCTGTTAAAACATAAAACAAACGAAAGTAATTGCTTTCGCTCCCACCATAGAATCTAATCTTGGGATTCTTTCAACCAATTAACTGTGCTGTTAAAAGACTCATTTCTCTGAGAGTTGGCGATTGGAGCAAGCTTTTCCACCATGTTGTCAGAATGATATTGACTGAAAATGTCATTCAGGGCTAGTTTTAATTCCTCGCCATGCAGGTCTTTCCCATATGGTAGATATGCATGCTTGTACATAGCTGGGTCCTGTTTCCATCGACACCATGACTCACTGCAGTCAGTGTGGATTCCAAATGCATGGGGTACTATGCATTTTAATGATGCTTGCATTGACTTTGGTTCACCCTTGTTTTGGTTGACGGCAACTGAAAAGCATTTCACGAGATAGTCGATTACTTTTGTTGACAATGATGAGCAATTGGGAAATCTTTTCATTTTGGCCAGATTATGTAATCTACTAGATAACGATCTTTTTATATGAATTATATCACTAAATTTCTCAACTCCATATGGTACTTGTGCATGTATAAAACTTTCAGTTGTTGAGTCATCATCCCCAGTGTAAGTTGAGTACTTAGCATTGTGTTTCGTTATGTTCTTAAACAGCTGAACTGCAGATGTAGGCTCCATAGCTTTTGATGAACCACTATGATTTTTTCGGCAGTCATGTTTACGGGGAGTGGAGTTCATTTTTTTTGCATGATCACAAATTCTGCATGTTTTTGTCTTTGTTGTGTAGTCCATTATTTTTCCAGTGTGTAAGCCCATTACAGCTCCTTGTCCTGTGTTTGAATTGAAACCTTTGCCACGTTTCTGCCAACCCATGTCATACGAGCATGAAATTGGGACAAGATTATTCTCGTCTGGTGTTTCACCAATTTTATGGGATGTTCATAACTGACAAGATGCCATTCAGATGCGTCTCACCAATTCCGGTATGAAGACTGGCTAAAACTGACTTTGTATTGATGTCATATGCCATTGGACCAGAGGCTTCAGACTTGTGGGCGAGTGATGTTTCAACAACATTGGTTTGACCGCAAAACTGACATTGAATATATAGCTTGCTAGCTAGACCATATAACTTTTCTTGTTGTACATTGCTTAATGACAGTGGTCCTTAAAAATAATAGAGTATTGCCATTGTTTTTATTGTTTATTTCATACCTTTACATCAATTCATAATTATAATATATTTTTGTTTGTGCAAACAAAACTATTATATGTTTTATCTTCATGCAAACATAGAAAGAACTTATAATATATTTACACAAATTTAATCAACTGACACTTGTACATTTTGAAAACAGTACTTTATTTTATAACTATATAGTGACCAAATTATATCAAAATTTTGAATCTAAATAATTCTGTATTTTGAAGTGGAGAAATTAAATGCTTCACATTTGCCTTTGTTTACCTTCTTTGCAAAATGAACAACTCTCCAATCCTTTTCTCAGTTGGTTTATGTCAACAATTCGGCTTCCTTGAGGTAAATTCTCTTTTATTTCTTGTTTTGCCTAATGCCAAATCATGGAGTACGTGAATTATAATTTTTTAAACAGACCTAAATGTTTACAATGATAAAAACGTCTCGGTGTTTACGTTGCCTACCGTGCTTTCCCTTGTATTTATCACGATGTCCGTCGCTGGTTCAAACTCTTCGTTTTCGTCTTTGTTTTCCTCAACCTCGCTTGAAATATTTTCATTTTTCCAAGATTGAAGCCCCTCTTGTAATTTTATAATATTACCTCGATTTCTTTTTTGTATTTTCTCAAATTTTCCCGTCAAAGAACGATTTTTAAAACGCGCTGCCATGTTTGTTTTTAAATTTTTATATATCGGCATTTAAAAATCCCGCGCCGTTCCCTCTCGCGCGACATTTCCTCGCACCACGCGATCCTGTCCCGCAACGCGCGAATTGTTTCTCGTTTCCAGTCCCATGCTTTAACAACTGTAGGGAGCCACCTTAATATATACCAAAGATGGTATTTATGTTGTAAATATTTAGGAACAAACTGTAACGATGTAACCACTATATATATGTATGTTTGTAAGTTTGTATAACATAATATTTTGCAAAATACCTCAAATGTCGATGTGTCCATTCGCAAGTATCGACGATAGTTCTCGGGATCTTCAAGCCGCAATTCTTCTAATAATTGCCGATAAACACCGCGGTTTGAACGTTTTAGCTAAGACCTTGTCCAAATGGCTCGTTTTCTTTTCTTTTTTTTGTTCCTTCGCCTTAAAATCGCCAAGCTAATATAGGAAACTAACAGCTTTCTGGCATCCATATTTGCTTTGTTTACTTTTTGATTGCGACAGATGGCGTCAATTGTGACATTTCCTTCTCGGGCCAGTATGTTTGTTCGTGTGAAATGCGCGCGGCCACAACAATCGTATGCAACGAATCGTATTCAAATCATATCATGTAAATACATCGTAGAAATGATGTAAGCAAGTTGTATACGACTATCGTATACGAGAATCGCACCGTGTAAATGGACCTTTACAAACCCTAACGACAATTCGCTGAAATACAAGTTAGCCTGATATGTCATCAAGCCAACAAACGCTGAAGTTAATATTTGATATGCCGATTTTCGGTAATTTTAGACACATCCCAAAATATGCTCCCGATTTTGAACATTAATATCTCCGTGAATTTTTAAGTAAAATACAACTGTAATATATCAAAATCTAAGTTAGTCCTTTCTCTATTTAATGCAAGTTATTTCTGTTTGATAGCTTTACTTGTCTAGAAGTTATTATAAATCAAACCGGAGTACTTTTTTTTTGGACACCCGGTATAATAACAAATCATTTACATGTCAATAACAAATCATTTACATGATTATTATCTTGAGTTCAATTTCTTTCTACATATCAAAGTGTGTTGGGGGTACTACGATTCTGCCGCTACGCGTTGTGTGTTGGTGGATTTCTTTGGCTGGCAATTGCTATATAGTATACTTCAAAATAAGGTTTCTGTTTTTCTGGTTTTCAAAATACGTTCGGCCTCGGGTTAGGTTAGGTTGGGTTAGGTTAGGTTAGGTTAGGTTAGGTTAGGTTAGGGTTAAGTTAGGGTTGGGTTATGGTTGGGGTTATCGTTGGGGTTAAGTTGGGGTGAGTTTTAGGATTAGGGTTTAGTTTTGCGTTAGGGTGGATTTGTATACGTTATAAAAACGGAAACCTTATTTTACGGTATACTTTCTAGCAATCACCTTTCTTAGGGGATATGATTTCTGAGTTGTCTAGTGTTTTTTCATCGGGTTGTTGATATGCTTGTTCCATTAGATCTTGTGGGCGTTGTCGTATTTGTATTCGATTTCGTCTCATTCTTCCTCCTCCTTGCTTCGTAATAATGTAGGATCATGGTACTTCTTGAATTTTCTTCTTTATACCTGCGGGTTTCCAGATTTGCGTCCTTGGGTCTTGGATGTTTATACCTTGACCAGGTTTTAATGGCTGGAGTGGTTTTGTATTTCTGTCATGGTAGTATTTCTGCGTCGCTTGCCCATGTAATAATCTGCTAGTCACCTCCTCAGTTGTTTTACATTTTGGTATTTTCTTTGGCAGGTTGTGTTGGATTGGTCTACCAAATAAAAACTCAACTGGGGATGGGAGAGTGCTGTTGATTGGAGTTGCCCATAAGCACAACCAAGCCATGAGTGGGTCTGTATTGGTTGCTGTTGCTTTTTTCATTGTCTTTTTCGTACTCTTGACATGTCCTTTTCGTAGTCTTGGCTCGCAATAAACTCGTTGCTTCTGCGGGTACTCTGGTGAGATTGTGATATGTTGAAACGATATTGCTCCGCAAACTCTTCCAGTGGCGTCGTGTGACCCATGTTTTCGGGGGGGGGAAGGCCAGTACTTTTCGGACAAAACAAAAAATGTTTCCGACAAACCAAAAATATTCCGGACGACAACATTTTAAATATTCACCCCTCCCCCCACCCGTCGACAACATTGACAATTTTCCGACGGGGCTCCACAATACGTGGGGGTATGGACCCCCTCCCCTCCCCCCGGCCACGGTCTTTATATGCTTGTCCTTCAAAGTGTCGCCCATTATCGGAACTTGCGATTTTTGGTATTCGTTGTTCGCTGTAAATTTCTTTCGTTAAATTCGCGATTGTCCTACTGCTGCTTTTCTCTTTTGGTACAGTGCCGTAGCCAGAACGACAATTGATGGGGCACGTACATATTCATATATTCGTGTTCTGCTTTATTAATTTCTTTTGAAATCAATTGTTTTTATGGTATGTGAACACGAATATATGATTATGTGCCCCCCCCCCCCCAATTATCGTTCTGGCTACGGCACTGTTTTGGTACCTCTCGCACGAACTGGTATTTTGAGTAGTATTCAGCGACCAATAAGTATTTCGCGCCGTCTAGGTATGCCATGAACCTGGCGGAAGTGGCTCTTTGGGTTGCCTGCTCTGGATTTCTTGACATGTTTTGCACGATTTGCACGGCTTCCCAATGTTACTGTTCATTCCTCTCCAGTAAACCGATGTTCGGGCTCTTAATTTAGTTTTTTCCAACCCTTGATGACCTGCGTGAAGCTTCGTAGTATCATGTTCTGCATGCTATGGGGGATGATAACACGTTGGCCATTCATTGCTATTCCACCTTCAGTGGCGATCTCATCACGAAAGGTCCAATAGTGTTTGAGGATTTCTGGGATCTGCTTTACGTTCGTTGGCCATCCACATAATTTAATTCTTCAAGCTCCGGCTCTGTTGCACTTGCCGCTCGGATCTCCTGCAAAATATCACTACTGAATTGTGGACAGATTTCATGTATTAGGATGTCCATGTCAGAGATGGGCTCTGTTTCCTGTGGCGAAAGTCTTGATAGGGCATCTGCGATTTCCATATCTCTTCCTTGACGGTACTTGATTGTAAGACTGTACGGCCGTAGGCGCAACGACATCCGTTGCAGGCGCGACGGGGCTGATGTAAAGTGCTTAAGGTGGATTGATTCCAGGATTTTATGATCAGACTGGACAGAAAAGCTGCGACCGTAGTTGTAAGTGCGGAATTTCTCACATCCGTATACAACTGCTAAGCTTTAATGGCAAAGGCGATTTGCTTGTCCTCTTGCAAGAGTGTAGCTCCCAGGACTTTTGTTGATGCGTCAACTTGCAGTAATGTCTTTTTCTCTGGGTCAAAGTATGTTAGTGTAACTTCTTCAGAAGTTAAATTATTGATCCTGTCAAACACATCCTGTTGGCTTGTACCCCAGGCAAACTTGCTCTCCTTCTTGAGTAGCTGTCGCCAGTGGCGTAGCTAGCGGTCCTGCTTGTCCTGCCCAGCAGGACTAAAAATTTCCCCAAATTTCCGTACTAAAGCATTGCTTTATTTATCTTGAAGCTTTAAAAATTTATCATTATCATATTGTTATTTTGTCTCATTTTCTCGTCTTTTTCGTTATTATTTTTTAAAACGTTTTTCGCATTCTGTTATATTTACGCAATTTTACAGCTTGCCGTGTCTGTTACCTAGCAACTGGAACTCTACATTGATTTACACGCGACTCGTATTTCAGTCCTGCCATTTTCAAATGGCAGGACTTGCTAGTATATTTCATAGTAAATTCAAACAAGAAATCTTGGTTTCTGATTGGATAATTAGGTCTGCGCATGCTCAAACCGACTGTTTACAAATGCGAAGTCCTGCTCTCTCGAAATGGCAGGACTTGGCCTTGTATTATCTTTACTTGCGAGCTTTCCGAGTGACTAAACCCACTTTTCACTAATTCTGTCGAGATTACTCAAGTTATGAATATGGAAATCAACGAGTGTGGAAGCCCAATGTGATTTTGATCTAATTTCTGGCTTCTGCTAAGATATTTTAGCTCACGAAATGCATGTGAACAGACTCGACTGATGATAGTGTATGTTTATAATACAATATATTAAATGGGGAATACAAACTTCAATTGTGAAGCCTGTCGTATTGATATAAAGTAAGAACGTAATATTTACTGCCAGTTCATCTGCTTTGTGCATTTGAAAGGAGCACTTATATGGAGTTTAATTTTAAAAATGATATACTGTACCAATTCACACTGTTTATGTAGATATTTGGCCGCATAGACTATATTAAACGCTATATTATTAATACCATAGGCATAGGGTGCTGAATTACATTCAGAGTGCCAGGCGTAGTGATCTGTCACATTACTAACAAACGTAGTGAATTTTTAACGAATGCTAGCCGTAGTGTTATAGTGTATAAAACGCCGTGTTCAACAGTATAATAGTTTATTATGCAATTGTTGATTATGTGAGGTTGGATTGTTTTGTGTTGATCAAGTGAAAGATCGTATTACAGACGCGTATTGTATACATGATATGTTCCTCTTTCGTGACTTGACTATATTTAGCTACATTTTCAGTTAAGTTGAAAAATATATAGTGAAATATGATAAAAAATGCATGGATTTCAAAAAATTATAAATTTTTTTCTAAAAAAATTATCAAAAATTTTCCGCTAATCACGCAATTTTTTATGTTCCCTTTACATGTTGCTCTGCTTCTTTATCTAATCTAGGCCACCATACCTAGGTTCTCAAATATTGTTTGGTCTTGACAATTCCCAATTGTCCCCTGTGTGCCTGAGCTAAGGTTCTATTTCGAAGTGCATTGGTATAATCAGTCGGTGTCCTCTCAACAGTACACCCCTTATTGATGTTATTTCATGCCGTACTGCAAAATAAGCTGGTATGGATTTGTCTTTCCCGTTGCCGTTGCCAGACTGAAGTGCTCGTCCAACTGATTGCAGTTCTTTATGGTTCTTTGTGGC